ATTTTAAGTGGACTACTGCTCAATACCCAAAATAGTCAAATCATGAATGTCCAAGGAGGCAAAAAAGGAACGATGTTGAGAAGGTTTTCATCATACTTACAAAGACTTAAACGCTCCAAAGTCTGAAAAATATTTAGTTTATATAGTGGCCATATAAGACACATAAAATTATTCATCAAAACTGTTACAATATTCAAATATTTCATAAATTAAAATGTCCATGTGTTCTGTGGCCCAGTCAAGATGATAAATAAAATTAAACATCTCACTTTTGTCTGCACAGTTCTAATAGTTGGGAATAGATGATAGCGAGAGCAAGAATAAGTCAAAAGTTTAGAAGTAGTGACTAGAAGTTGTGCCTCTTACTTGAGAAGAGACCCAATGATTCTATGCCTTTCTACTTAAAGTTGAGAGAATAACAGACCTTTCTGAGGGCTAAATATGATAACTTACATAGCATTTTTAGCATAGTCCCAAGCCCATAGTCTACACCAATGGGGTGGGGGTGAGGAGTGGGTCACTGCTGGCATCCAGCCTAATACATGTTACATCATGCCTTCTGTATAATGTGTTTAGAGACAGATGTTTTGACACTGTGCATGATGACTATAGTTCAAGGCCTTACCCACCACCACCCAAAAAAAAAAGGAAGAAGAAGAAACAAGAGGATAATGTGGGGGAGGAGGAAGAGAAGGAGGAAGAATAGAAGAAGGGAGAAAAAATAAAAAAGAGATGCATGCTTTAGGCTGGAGATATGGGAGAGATGGCAAAAGTCAATGGAGTGGAAGCAGGGAGAGAGAGAGTGCCTGCCCTAACTCAGAGAAGAGCCATGTGGTTGGGAGGCAGAGCCTGATGTTTTCACTTGGACACTCCAAGAGCTGATGCAGGTTATTCAAGGAAGCTTCACTCAACCACAGCAGTATAGATTGGAACCTTAGGTCCCCACAGGGAACCCTTACTTGCCCCTCTAGCCTGTTTTGTGCATTTTTGTTTATGTATTACCAAGGTCATCCAGAATTCACCTTAAAATAATAAGTATTGTTGCTATGGGCAAGGCATGCATTTGTCTGTACTCATTCATTCTACAGTATACACAGATTTCAAAATATCACCTTGCATTCAATAAATACATACAATTCTGTCATTTTGAAACTGATACATTCACTTAATTTTTAAGAAGTACAGAAAACATTACTAGTATTACCTCACTAGTAAAAAGAAAAGTGCAAATTAAACAAGATAACACCCACACTAATCAGTTTTGCAAAAATGGGCAAGTTATATCATAGTTTCTTTCTTATTGCTGTGATACAATACCCTGACAAAAGCAACATAAGGGTTATTTTGGCTCACAGGTCCATCATAGCAACAGGCAGGCAGGGCAGGGTGGCAGGAACAGGAGACCGGATGGCCATATTGCATCTACACTGAAAAAACAGAGAGTGAACAGAAGGTGGGGTCAGCTACAATGCTTCAAGGCCTACTGCCAATGATGCACTTCCTCCAGAGAGTCTCCATCTCCTAAAGGCTCCACAGCCTTCCCAAGCAGTGCCACCTGCTGGAGACTAAGTGTTTAATCTGAGTGCCTACTGGGAACATTTCAAGCTCCAACTACAACATTCCACCCTGGCCCCAGGGACTTACAGCTTACCACTTCGTTTTGATCAAAGCAAGTTGCAGACCAGATTCAAAGTTGGGGAAAATACACTTCATTTTCTCATGGGAGGAGCAAGAACATCACATTGCCAAGGTCATGACCAGGAATGTGGTAGAAGATTCAGTTTGGCAAAGCCAACATGCCCGTGACCCTAGCCACCCGCATGGATCTTCACTAGGAGGCCAGCCAAACAGCAGGTATTTTCCCCTTGCCTTCTGAAATTCTTGAGACAGTAAATTGTCCAACTGAAAATGAACTCCAGAAAGATTTTCCTGAAGGGCAGAGGAGCATGAACATCTATGTCATGAACATACTATGTCAGAAAAACAGACAAGTTTGTGATTTTCTACAGTGTCAGAATTTAGTGAGCAACAAATTCATAAGCTGCATCGATTTTTTGGCAACAGTTTGCCTTTGCCACGTATCTCTGATTTCCCTTGATAACTGGTCATTTGAAAACAGATGTTGTTTTGTTTTGTAAGACAGGGTTTCTCTGTGTACCTCTGGCTTTCCTGGATAGCCTTGAACTCATGGAGATCCTCCTGTCTTTGCCTCCTGAGTGCTAGTATTAAAGGTGTGCACCACCCCTGATCAGCCCATAGATTTTTTTATTCTAATCTTAATTATTTATTAATTTTCAGAGCACATAGTACACATCATACTATTGATAGACAGATAGATGGATAAATAGATAGTTATAGATAGATGATAGAAGATATATAGAGGATAGATAGATAGATCATAGATAGACAAGCAGACAGACAGACAGATGATAGATCTAGAATCAAAGGTAAGAGCAGACTTAAAGGAGTTCAAAGATATCTAACTGGTGACAGAGGGAGGAGGCTGATAGATGCAGAGTTTCTGTGGGAATTAGGTACCAAAGCTGTGGGGAAGTTGCAGGAAACTCAAAACAGTGTTGAGTCCTGTAGTTAAATTAAGCTGTGAAGGTAAGGTATGGGACCAAGGAGACCATACAGGAAAGGTACAGTACAGAGTCTAGACAGACAAATAGTGGATAAGAAGTTCAAGTAGAATGTTATAAACTATGAGATCTGAACCAAAATGAAGCCCCCAAGACTGTGGAGAGTTCTCTGCCTGCTGGTCCTTGATGCACACACCAGATGATGGCAGGTCTCTAGGTTGTGTTGATAGGGTCCAGGTATGGTGTTATGCACTTCCTCACGAGCAGTTCTTTCTGATATGGTTTTAACCTACCCACACACTCCTGTGATCCTGTCTTAGCTAGTGTCTCTATTACTGTGAAAACACCCCATGACCACAGAAACTCTTACAAAGAAAACATGGAATTGAGTGAGGCTCCTCGCTTACAGTTTCAGAGGTTCTGTCCATTATGATCACGACAGGGAGCATGGTGTTGTGCAGGCAGACATAGTGCTGAAGCTGAGAGTTTACATCTTGCAGGCAACAGGAACTCTACTGACTGTCACACTAAGGGAAGATTGAGCAAAAGAAACTTCAAAGCCTTCTCCCACAGTGACACCCTTCCTCCAAAAGGCCACACCTCCTAATAGTGCGACTCCCTTTGGGGGCCGTTTTCTTTCAAACCACCAAAGGTCCCAATCCACTTTGATAAGTTTATAGAGAGGCCCCTGTAAAGAGAAGCCTTCCTGCCAGCCTGGTTCCAGAGCCGCATCAGTCCCAAATAAACACACAGGAGGCTATATTAATTATGAAGCTGTTGGCCTTGCTTGTTTCTTACTGGCTAGCTCTGACTTAAGTGTTTATCCCATAATTGCTAATCTAAGTATTTCTCTTACCGGAGAGGTTTCCAGGCTTCCTACCCCATGGCATTACATCTTGACTTTTTGTGTTTCTCCTGTGTTTCTCCTACCCAGAGTCCTCCTGGAATCCTAGTCCCACCTATCTTGGTTCCCTATTGGCCAACAGTGCTTTATTGACATATACACAGGACTTCCCCCATCAGGCCCCCTTTCTGCTTTTAGGTATAACTTATTTAACAGTCTGTGCCCCATGGTGTCAGACAGAGGTATCTTACATGTCCCCCAGGGTGCCAAGTCATCCTGCCTCTACATTTTTACTCAAAATGGAGTCAGAAGTACTTGTAATATGAAGTCACAAGGGCAAAGCACAGCCTTAGAACACTGTTTTGTCCAGTAGTAAGTCACTTAGAGACCCAGCCTGATCTCAAAATTTTGCCAGTGTGAAGGACTGTGGGAACCTCTGTTTGTTGTTTGTAATTGTCAGTGCTGCCTGACTTAGCAGGGCCTTCTCACATGGCCTTTTGAAAAACTCATATAGAAACATACTACTTTAGAAGCTTCCTAATATGTTTATGTATAAAAAGTTTAAATGGTGTTTACTTATAATGGGGACACAATACCTCAAATAAATACCATATGCTACCAAATAAAATCCCAGTACCAAGAATTGGCTACCTCTTTTTGAGTTGTTGGCCAATGGGTTTACATGGATCCCAATAAAAAACATTACAGGATATATTACCAGTTCTATTGGTTACCCTCCAGAACTTGACAGTTTCTTAAGACTTTTAAAGTTTTCAATATAGAATTCTACCTTCTTGGTTAGGTTAACTTAGAGTTTGTTTTTTGTTGTTGTTGCTGCTTCTGCTGCTGTTTTGGCTATTAGGGTTGTTTCCCTGTTTTCTCTCCTGGTGTGTTTGTCATTGATGTCTAAGCAAAGCTGTTGGATTTTGTATTCTAATTTTGTATTCTGCTACTTTGCTGGATTTTTATTTATTGGTTCAGGGTTTTCTAGTGGCATCTTTAGAGTCTTTTATGTCTAGATTCATATCTAACCTGAAAAAAGGTGTCATTTAACTTCTTCTTTTCCAAAATACTGCCAGAATGTGCTTTCTTATTTCTGTGTCAAAGTGGAAAGTGAGTGACCATCACTCCATCATTGATAAGATTGATAAACAACATCTCACCCCTGTTTGCTGAGATATCCTTGGAAGTAACTACCCATTCATGGATCCTAGTCCTTCTGAAGAACCCAAGCTGACCAGTCACCAGCCAGCACACACCTCTTTTATATTGTGTTTCATTTTCTAGGGAAATCCACATGTTTTTCACTGGAGATACTTCAAATTTTAAATTAAAGAAAAAATGTCATAGTTAATAATGTTCCCTTTGTAATAGGAACAACCTAGGGTCAGGAAGGACACTGGAGAAAGTGGGGGAAAATAGAAAGGAACTTCAGAGTGGACCAGTAGAAAACTGGATGGGCTCAACCTCAGCTGAGTCATTAAAGACTAAGTTATTCCCAGCAGAGAGAACTGAAGAAATTCCCTACAAATGATTTTGACCATTTGTCTGACTTGTGTCTCTTTTCCCCACAGCCATGGAACTAGGTGTGCAGGAGAAGTTTCTGCTGCAGCCAGCAACAATATCTGTGGAGTCGGTGTGGCATACAACTCCAAGGTGGCAGGTGAGCCAGCCCTGCCAGAGACAGGCACCAGGCTGGACAGCCTGCCCTCAGAGCGGTCACACTCTGATCTCCAATCCTGCAGAGACCCACAGGCAGAGCAAGCAAGGGGAAGACATTTCATTTTAACCTGCACACAACATGCTTTCAATATCCTTAAACATAAGCCACTGAAAATAGGCATATCACAGTCACATAGCTCAAATGCGAATACATTCTCATAAATATAATACCCATGTAACCAACAAAATCCAACCAGACCCGCAGCTATTACCCATACCTACCCAAGAGTAACCACAATCTTGTTTTCTGACAGCAAAAAAAAAAAAGATCATTTCTGGCATTTATCTTTACATTAGTGCAAAGTCACTACTTTAAAATATGGTGTCAATGTCAACAGCACTTTAATGAGAATCAAATATAGACTATAGAACATAAGGAGGTATGTAAGGACTGTTTCTAAATATTCTGGGTGGCCTCGAAACTGTTTCACATGATCACTTCTTTCCGGAGACACGATCCACCTGAACCTTTTATGAAAACCCCTGGATCCAGTACTTTATATTTCCTCTTACAAGGGCATTAGGAGTGGGAGCAGAAAGTCAATGGGAGGTTTAGAGAGAAAGGCCAACGGACAGACTCAGACATTTCCAATAAGATGCCTGAGAATGCATCTGCTTGTTCTAAGTTTGGGTCAAACTGGCTCTTAATTCAGTCAAACTGAGTCATCTCATCTTGTTTTTCTTTCTGCTTAACAATTTTCTTGATAATTTCTTTCCTAACAATTTATTGAACCATATGCCTACTTTGAACCAACACTTGCATATCTAAGGATGTAAATAAAGCAAATGGACTGTACAAACCCATCCCTAGCTTTTTCAGAGTGCTTGCAGAAACTCCTGCCTGAACTGGGTGCAGAATTTCACAAAAGAATATATCTGGAGGGCTGGAGGCTGGATCCATTGATCAAGTGCTCACCTTTTAAGTACAAGAACCTGAGCTTGATTCTCAGAACCTACATAAAATCACACAACCAGCATGGCATGATAATCTTCAAGGTACAAATTTGAGAGAGGAAAACATTTTACTCATTCAGACTGACAATTATGAAAGCTGTCGTGTGTGATGTGTGTGTGTGTGTGTGTGTGTGTGTGTGTGTGTGTGTGTGTGTGTGTGTGTGTTTCACTACAAATGAACCACAGTCTTCCAGAGACTTTTTTCCTTAAGGAACTTTCTATGCTATGGAGGGCTAAAGCGCCACCTGGTGATCAACTGGGATAATTGCTAGTCGGTGGCATTCTGGAGATGTTCAGGGAGGCGCTGTCTCAAAAAGAAGAAAACGGCTTGTCATAGTTTAGTGGCACAGCCCAATATCCCCAGAACATGACAGACTGAATGAGAAGCATGTGAGTAAGAAGTAAGTAGCTTACGCTACTTAATGAAATTGTGAAATAGAAAAGTAATCTTCTAACAGGGAGAAAAGACACAACTAAGCACCTTTTCATTTGTGTCCTGCCTGTGCTCTTCAGGTCATAGAATTTGCTCCTGTTTCCTGTTGCTGTTCAAGCACTCTTGGTAGGTCATAAATACTTGTCCATGAGTTTGTTTGTAAACTTTGGCACAGGCCACGAGTGCATCTAGAATCTACTTTTGTAGAGGCAGTGCTAAGTTGAGTAGCAGTTCGGTTTGCTCCAAACAGTGAACCAGTGTTTCTAACACCATCTATGTAATAACTCACGCAACTTACAGTTGCATGCAGATTGTCTGCTGTATGTTGACTTCCCATACACATATGAGTCATCTCTGAGTAAATGCAACTTAAGTAAAACCTTGTGAAACATGAACTAGAAAGTATGACTAGGATTGGCTGCTAACCTTGACGACGTATCTTCCCCACTTATGCCACTCAGGCTCAACCAGTCACTTCTGGAATCAGCCTCACAGAAACATCCAAAACAGTGCTTTGACAATTCCCAAGGGATTCCTTCATCAGTCAAGTTGACATCTAAGTCATCTGTGTCATGCATGGCCACTGGATTGCTGTTTCTCCCTTGGCAACCACAGACTCTACAAAGGCAGTGTCTGTCTACTTGGTCTTACATTAACACCGCAGAATCCAGACCAGACTCCAGCTCACTGTCTATGTGCAAATCCTATTTTCTGAATACTAGGAAAGAATGAAGAAGAAAGGAAGGGAGGCAGAGGGAGGGAGTCAATGAATAAACCCACTAAGATATCAATGATCACTTAATGAAAGAATGGGTAGGTCAGTAATGTTGAGAGATTGGGAACATAAAGACACAAAGCCAGTGAAATATCACCACAGCAGTGGAGGAGTGTTCCCTTTCTCCACAACTTCTCTAGCATAAACCGTCATTGGTGTTTTTTATTTTAGCTATTCTGACAGGAGTAAGACAGTATTTCAGAGTTGTTTTGATTTGCATTTCCTGGGTGGCTAAGAATGTTGACCACTTTCTTAAGTGTCTCTCAGCCATTTGAGACTCCTCTATTGAGAATTCCCTATTTAGTTCTGTACCCCACTTTTTAATTGGATCCTTTGGTGTTTTGGAGACGCGCTTCTTGAGTTCTTTGTAAATTTTGGAGAGTAGCCCTCTGTCAGATGTGGGGTTAGTGAATATCTTTTCCCAATCTGTGGGTTGCCTTACAGAAACTTCTCAGTTTTAGGAGGTCCCATTTATTAACTGTCAATCTTAGTGTCTGTGCTACTGGAGTTGTTTTCAGGAAGCAATCTCCTGTACCAATTTTTTCAAGGGTACTTCCCACTTTCTCTTCTAGGAGGTTCAGTGTGGCTGGGTTTATGTTAAGGTCTTCGATTCATTTGGACTTAAGTTTTGTGCATGGCGATAGACATGGATCTATCTGCAATCTTCTACATGCCAGCATCCAGTTATGCCAGCACCATTTGTTGAAGATACTTTCTTTTTTCCATTGTATAATTTTAGCTTCTTTGTCAAAGATCAGGTGTTCGTACGTGTATGGGTTAATATCTAGGTGTTCAATTCAATTCCATTGGTCTATCTGTCTATTTTTGTGCCAATACCAAGCTGTTTTCAGTACTATAGCTCTATAATACAACTTGAAGTCAGGGATGGTGATGCCTCCTGACGTTGCCTTGTTGCACAGGGTTGTTTTGACTATCCTGGGTCTTTTGTTTTTCCATATAAAGTTGAGAATTGTTCTTTCAAGGTCTGTGAAGAATTGTGCTGGGATTTTAATGGGGATTGTGTTAAATCTGTATATTGCTTTCAGTAAGATTGCCATTTTTACTATGTTGATCCTACCTATCCAAGAGCATGGGAGATCTTTCCACCTTCTGGTGTCTTCTTTAATTTCTTTCTTTAAGGACTCAAAGTTCTTTCTATACATGTCTTTCACTTGTTTGGTTAGTGTTACCCCAAGTATTTTATGTTGTTTGTGGCTATTGTAAAGGGTGATGTTTCTCTGATTTCTTTCTCAGCCCTATTGTCGTCTGTATATAGTAGGGCTACTGATTTTCTTGAGTTGATCTTGTATCCTGCCACTTTGATGAAGGTATTTATCAGCTGTATGAGTTCCCTAGTAGGTTTTTTTGGGTCACTTATGTAAACTATCATATCATCTGCAAATAGTGAAAGTTTGACCTCTTCCTTTCCAATTTGTATCCCCTTGATCTCCTTCTGTTGTCTTATTGCTCTAGCTAGAACTTCAATATTGAAAAGGTATGGAGAAAGTGGACAGCCTTGTCTTGTTCCTGATTTTAGAAGAATTGCGTTGAGTTTCTGTCCATTTAGTTTGATGTTTGCTGTAGGTTTTGCTGTATATATAACTTTTATTATGTTTAGGTAAGTTCCTGTTATTCTGGATCTCTCCAAGACCTTTATCATGAAGGGGTGTTAGATTTTGTCAAAGGCTTTTTCAGCATCTAGTGAGATGATCATGTGATTTTTGTTTCTCAACTTGTTTATATGATGGATTACATTGATCATCCACTGTTTTTTAACGTTTGTTTTTGGAACAAGATCCCAATTAGTAGCCCATTTGGCCTTGAGCCTACAGTTTCCCTACCTCGACCTCCTGAGTTGCTTCTCTTGGAGTGAGCCAGCGGCTCAGGCTTGAGTGTCTAGCACTAAGTGAATCTGAAAGCATATGAGCCTTCCCCTTAAAGCAAGAATATTACAAGCATGCACCACTGTGTCTGGCCACATTCCTAAGTAAATAGAGTAGACTTGGGCCCATAGACAAAGGTACATTTGCTAGGCGGTGGTGGCGTATGCCTTTAATCCCAGCACTTGGAGGCAGAGGCAGGCATATTTCTATGAGTTCAAGACCAGCCTGATCAACCAGAGCTAGTTCCAGGACAGGCTCCAAAGTTACAGAGGGGAACCCTGTCTCGAAAAAAAAAAAACAGAGAGCGGGGAGGGGGCTACTTTTAAGCTTTCTGAAAAATGCATCTTCTAAAAAGTTCAGATCAATTCTTAATCTAAATGAGCTTCATCCCAAAAAAGAGATATCAGTTCATAATTGAATGTTAGTTGGCATAAATGGGTGACCTGACTTAGGGGTTAAGGCAGAGGCAGAGGGATTAATGGCCATCTATGACCTTTATTGCTTGCTCTTCTGAACCTGTTATTTCTGTTGGAGAGTAAAATCAACTAAAGGAAGTAATAACATCAGACACAGATATTCACGCTTAAGAATTCATCAATCTAAAGGTAAATGCCCATGTTCAGCATTATGTTAAACTCAGGAATAGATGTAAACACAGTAACCACACCCCAGGCACCCAGATGCCTTGCTGTCTGGTAGAGCAAGAAGCACTATCATGCTTGCAATTGACCAAAGGGATTCTGGGAGAAACTTTGATCCAAGCATGGGAAGTGGCTTTTACATCACTAAAGAGGGAAAAGAGAATGCCCAGCCTCTTGAGATAAGGATAGACCTTAAGAAAGAAAAGAATATCTTGTCAACTCCTCATGCCCTCAAAGAACCTAAGCGGCCTCTGTTTAAATTAATTTGAATTGATATGTAGAATGATTGTTTCTAAATAAAAAAATAAAGTTGCAAGAAAGGAAAATAATCAATTAATTCATTTGCATATAGTGCTTAAGAAATAATGTCCTTATATAATGATGTCCTTTGATTTGTGACATATGAAGTCCCTATGGCTTCATAGAGACTAAGAATGGAGTGTTTGTATCCAGATTTTGGCTGAACATAGCTTAGGCCCTTCACTTCATAATCTTTCTATTAGTGCAATTTCTGTTGCTACAACAAAATACTTGAGGCTGAGTTGTGTTTAAAGAAGTCTATTTGGCTCACAGTTTTGAAGGATGAAAGGCAAAGAACAGGGGACCCCATTGGCCCAGTATCTAGTGAGGACATGGAAGAAATACATACAAGAGTGATTATCTGGTGACGAGAAGCCAGAGAATAGGGAAGTTTGGTTTTGCTCATGTTTTAACAACTCATTCTCATGGTACCTAGACAGGGCCCTATGTGAACTACATTAATCCTTTCCAAGAGCAATGTTCCCACAATGACCTAATCACCTCAGTGCCCATATTGCCCCTGGTCTCTGCACCCTGGAGCATCTTGCTAAGTGTTCATTGCTTCTTTCCACTCACAACTGCATTCACCCTAGAAACCTTAGCCCCAACCAACAATGGTCAATTCTGTACCACCAGAGGCCAGGTTCCCACCTAGAGGCTTAGTAAGGATGCCCTTCCATATCGTGTCTCCCCATTAAGAATTCAAATAAATTTTGTTTGGAGAATAACTTTTTTCTTTAAATAGTTACTCAAGGAAAGACACGAGTGAGGTCTGACAATGAGTGGGTAAGGTGATCTGAGTACCATTTTGACCCTCAGACTCATGATGACCTGAGGGCACTGAAGGTCCCCAGCTCCTCTCAGGACCCAAGATTTCTCTACCCCCATGTCTTCTGAGAGCTAAGGTACCAAAGTCTTGTTTCTCTGTTCACCCCTGTGCACAGGTATCCGGATGCTGGACCAGCCCTTTATGACAGACATCATTGAGGCCTCCTCCATCAGTCATATGCCTCAGATGATAGACATCTACAGTGCAAGCTGGGGCCCCACAGACAATGGGAAGACAGTTGATGGGCCCCGAGAGCTCACACTCCAAGCCATGGCTGATGGCGTGAACAAGGTAAAGACATTCCTGTCACCACAAGGCTCCAGACCACCCATGAGGTGGGACATAGAGGCTAAAGTGGTGGCACCAATACAGAGGACAAAGTGGCATGATAGGGTTGGAGTGGGTCTATAACTCTACATGTTAATTTAGAGCCTGTGGAAGGTAGGCAGAGTGGGGTTTAGCAGAGCAAGAGGCACATGGGAGGGAAGTTTGCAAAAGATGGCTCTGAGACCATTGTCCTACTCTGAAGAAGTTTCTGCAGAGCTGACAGGTTGTCTTCATGTGAAGTCACCCATGAGGGGCAGAAATGGGCCAGCACTGGCATCCTCGTGAACAGGCTCAGTAGAACGTCAGAGGCAGCCTACAAGCAAGTGGGGTCCCTGCCCACAATGGATGGCAGATCCAGAGGGCAGCAGCTTCCAAGCAAAGCCACAGTGGTTCTATGGTAGGAGGTCTGAGCAATGAATTTTGTGGCCATTGATTCTTGATATTAGCTTAGCAATAAACAGTGCCAACGAGAAGACACCAAGCTGAAGCCTCCAACACAAGCTCAGCTTCATTTTCAACAAAGTGATGCTCCATCATATTATAGGACAGGGGTCACCTAGACATGACATAAGCCAGGTTCAAGGAGCAGAGTACTCCTGGGCCAAGACCCTATTCCAGTCTCTAGTATCCGAGAACCTATCAGCAAGTGATTTCACTCAGCCTAGCCTGCTTTGTTGCCTAGAAAATTGTCATATGTGGAATCCTTTAAGGAGCTTGGATTGTTATGAGATATAAATTTGATAAAATATGGTCATGGCACTGGAAAATGCCCACACAGTCCCATGCACTACTGACTCTTGGCAACTACCCTAAAATCTCATGGCACATAGTCTTTTTTTAACCTTTTTTATTTATAAATTAGAAACAAGCTTGCTTCACATGTCAATCCCAGCTCCCTCTCCCTACCCTCCTCCCCTACCCTCCCCCAACAACCGCCCCAACCCCCCACCCAATCCCCACTCTGCTCCCCCCAGAGAGGGGTGAGGCCCTCCATGGGGGATCTCCAAAGTCTGTCATATCATCCGGGACAGGGCCTAGGCCCTTCCCCATGTGTACAGGCTGAGAGAGCATCCCTCCTTGTGGAATGGGCTCCCAAACCCTATTCAGATGCCAGGGATAAATACTGATCTACTACCCGAGGCCCCATAGATTACTGAGGCCTCCTCACTGACACCCAGATTTAGGGGATCTGGATAAGTCCCATGCTGGCCTCTCAGCCATCAGTCTAGGGTCAGCAGCTTCTGTGAGTTTCACCAGCCTGGTCTTAACCCCTTTGCTTATTACTCCTCCTTCTCTGCAACTGGGTTCCAGGAGTTCAATTCAGTGTTTAGCTGTGGGTGTCTGCCTCTGCTACCATCAGCCACTGGATGAAGGCTCTAGGATGGCATATAAGGTAGTCATCAATCTCATTATCAGAGAAGGGCATTTAAAGTAGCCTCTCCACTATTGCTTAGATTGCCAGTTGGTGTCATCCTTGTAGATCTCTGGAAATTTCACTAGTGCTAGATCTCTCCTCAAACCTATGACTACCTCTATTATGGTATTTCTAATCATTTTCTCCTCTATTCTTCCCCCAACTCAACCTTCCTGCTCCCCCATGTCCTCCGCTCCTCTTCTCCCCCTCTCTTTTTTCCAGCTCCCTCTCGCCTCCCCCATGCTCCCAGTCTACACAGGAGATCCTGTCCCATTCCCCTTCTCCAGGGTACCATGCATGTCTCTCTTAGGATCCTCCCTGTTTCCCAGACTCTCTGGCAGTGGGGTTGTAGGCTAGCAATCCCCTGCTCCATGTCTAAAATCCACATATGTGTAAGAACATACCAACAACACAGCCATTTAGATGTGGGTCCCATGGATCAGGAATTCAGAGAGGGCACATTTGGGGTGCCCTGACTTTTCTCCAGATTCCTGGAGCCTGAAGTGCCACCGTACTTGTGATTTAAGCATCAGTTCCCAAACTGTCTTCACAAGCTGCTTTTGTATTGCTGAATTTAAAGCATAGCAACTGGCAAGCCTTGGAGAGGGAAGTGGTGGGAAATGACATGGCTCAGCCCAGCCTGCCTGCTGTAGCCAATACTTATTTTAACAAGATTCTATCAAGGGCGGAGGGACATTGCTGTCAATGGGAATCCATGTCTCATAACCCTGAGATACTAAGATCCTAAAATAGCCCTTTAAACACACACGCTAAACAGAAAGGACATGTCAACAGTTTACAATCTGGAAGCATCAGGGTCGTATGGATGTCTGGTGACCAAACTATATGTCCTGTTTAATCTCTGTGCTACAGGAGCAGACATCCAGGTAGCTCAGCTGAAGGACATCTTTTGAGAAGGCAGGAGTGGTAATGGGGTAATTCAGGCAGGTCCTCACATGGCTGAGGGAGAGTTGGGCCTCCTGGACCTCAGATAGCTGTAAGATGTACAGAAACCCACACTAGGACTCATCAGCCCAAATGCTAGGCCACTCCACCCTATTTTCCCTGGCCCCAGAACTCATCCCCTTCCATCCTTCCTTCTTCTTGGGGCATGTGTTCAAATAGTGGAAAGATCCCCTTCCCATCCTTGCTCATCACAACCTGGCAGCCTCTGTGCTACTTGTCCCCACTGCTTCCAGGGAAAGCATGGTCCTAAATTAGCGGACACACCTTTCCCAAACCTAGGTCTCAAAACTGACGTGGTTCTGCTGAAAGGCTCCAAATCTGAAGGAACCAAAGACAGTGACTTTTCTAACACCTTTTTCTCTTCTGTTGGGGACAACTCATGATGGTGGATATTCCCCACCCTCTAAAGGAGAAATCTCTTGTGTACTCTTGTGTTGAATTCTACCAAAGATATGAACAAAAATATAAGACCATATGTCCCTCTCTGTTACAGGGTTGAATAGTGAGCCCACTTTCTCCTCTGGAAGTCTTAACCCTGTGTGTCTCAAAATATAACCTAAGTTGAAATTCAAGTCATTGCAGAAATAATTAGTTAAGATGAAAGCATATCAAGTGAGCCAGGCCCGTATGCCAGTATGATAAGGATAAAAATCCTTAATTATTAATGGAAATGGTAGTGTTTGCCTACAGACATGCTCAAGGGGAGAATGTTGCACAAAAATGGAGATCCCAGGGCCCACGTGCAAACCAAGGAATACCAAGAGGCGAGGAAATCCCCAGAGACTGGGGAGCATGTGTAAAAGCCTCCCTCCAAGGTCTGGAGAGGAATCAAGTCAGCTGACACTTCAGCCCCAGACAACTAGATTCCAGGGGATGCCAGAGCAGCTAGACAATTAATTTTGGGTGTTTAGAACTTCCAGTTTGTGGTACTTTATTATGGTAGTCCTAGAAAAGTAATGCACTCTTTCAATCCTAGAACAGGACATCAGAAAGGAGTGTTTAACCATACTCTGTAACTGTGAAAAGACCTGGTCACTATTACAGGTCACCTTGATATCTCTTGGCTCTCTCATTTATAGACAAGATAGTTGATCACTGGTCCAATAACAGTATTTTTTTCTTCTCTTTTGCAAACTCCAAAGACGATCTTCCTTCATTCTGGTATCAGAGTTAAAGAGCAAGCATTCAAAACCACAACCAATCAAAATACAGAGTTGTGGGGCCTAGTCTTGATGGACACATCTGCAAAACACTCCTACATCTATGGTTCAGAGATCACTGTGGAAGAGGGGGCAGACAGATTGCAAGAGAGAGGGGATCGAGGAGTTTGCTGTGAGATTGTGTCTCCTGGTAACATCAGAACCTATAGCCATAAAGTCTCACCAACATGACTGCCCAAACATGAGCTGAACAAAGATGACACCAATAGGTTTGTCAGAGGGGAGAGGGGATTGTTATGATTTAATATTTTGGGGGGTGGGTTCCGAGGCAGGATTTCTCTGTGGCTTTGGATACTGTCCTAGAACTAGCTTTTGTAGACCAGGCTGGCCTTGAACTCACCTGTCTCTGCCTCCCATGTGCTGGGATTAAAGGTGATTGCCACCACACCTGGCTGTTGTAATTTAATCTTAATGACAGAAACATTCCTGTGTAGCCAGTGCCATGATGGAGCTGCTCCTGGTGACATCACACTGATAGAGTGAAATCAGGCATGGAAGTTGGCAAGTAGAGCTTTGACAACCCCATTCAGAGAATGTATTGTTCACTAACACAACCTTCATTGCCTTCAGTCTTAGAAGATGCATACACCATACTCTCTCTGTACGTAGAAACAGCCTTGCCCTGGTGAGGCTGAAAGTTCCCTTTGGGAGCCGCAAAACGGAATAAAAGCACCTGAAACCCTGAATCAAGTGTTTCTGCAAGTTGACAAGTTTTTTATCTGAGTCACTTTTCCTGCCATGACTTCACTCTAAGGAAGAGTTGTCTCCCCTACATTCAATACTAAGTTTCAAGAAACACGGAGTCCTGGAAGTGAACAGCTTCATGCCATCCACTAAACATCCATTCCTGCACTTGAGTGGGGCCTGGTGGGAAACTAGCAAAATGTTGTGGCAACCTGCTGTTGAAACTGAGCCAAACAGAATCAGTGTGGAGGACCCTAACAGCAGAATGGCTCAAGGCAAAGGCCTACCAGGGGGACCTGGTTGCAGGATGTGTCAAGGCTAGAACTCTTGACATCAGTTGCTTGCTTTCTTAACAAGTGATTCACTGCATGGAAAAAAGAGAAAAAAATAAGCAGACATCCAACCCTGGACCAGACAGCAGGAGCCTAGAGGAGTATTTGGCAGGTGTTTATTTCTCCAGCAGACATATTACATTTTGGCACCTGAAGCTGGAAGAATCAGGCAAGTGTGTGACAGGTGCCCTCTGTCCACATTTGCAATGCAGATGCACTTGAAACAAGGCACCCCTGGGTGGCTCCTGTCATTTAATGTGCTTCCCAATGACACATCTCAGAGTTGGATCACACTCTCTCCCCGCTCCATCTGTAACCTCCCTGACTCCACCTGAAAGGCCTTTTTAA